TTGATCCTTTTCGCTCGTTTTCATCCAATCTCCACCCTCCGCCTTCTGTGTTGTCCCCAGAGTATTGAGCCTCCTCTAATTTTCCAGCCTTTACTCCCTCTAAATGGAGGTCGTTACGTTTTCGGGTTGGTGGTTTGTCGCTCGCTTAGCTGAAACGATTGAGTAATCAACAACGAGGTGGTGGCCGTCGATGCCCTAATGCTATTCACGCCTCGTATTCAGATGTAGAATCATCGTTGCTTGTTATGGATGCATTTGTCATTCGGCTGTTTCCCATTTCGAAATGCTGTCGTGAATCCAAAAATGGATTCCGAGTCGCTTATAGACGTTTATTTTTAGAAAATATTTAGCATAACTAAAATTTTGGCAATGCATCTCTCCCCATGGCGTGTAGGTGAAAGGCTGTTTGATAATAGGACACGTCATATGTTTTAGATACCCAGTGGGAAAAGGGTCGTATTTTGTTGCGGAAGTTAGGAGGGACCTATTTGCTCTTAAAAAATTGTCGGTTTTTCCTGTTTCATTTACGTTTCATTTGTTCACGTTTCATTTGCACGCACCCACCCTACCCTCCCCCCGCCCTCCCGCTTAGCAGCAGTGCTTTAGGGACCACTGAAGAATGGGGAGGGCGGGGGGTTGGTCGCATCAGAGGTGAAAATCTCGAGGGGTCGTATTCTGCAAAAATTTCTCCCGGCGACAGGAGGTGCCCTTTAGGGGCTGTCCCTTCTATCTTCGTTACCAGTGTGGAGATTGGCATGGTTGAATGTTGTGTGAATACGCCCCTCCTCCAAATTTCTTCCTCCGATGCGACCCGTTTCAAAACTTTGCTATTACCTTACCAAGTTTGTTTGAAATTTTGCCTTAAATGGGAGAGAGAAGCTCTAGACTTATTCGATAAATTATTAGAAATATATGTTTGTTCACGCCGTCAACCAGTAGGGGGGAAGGTGTTGAGCACGAGAGAAATGAGTAATCGGAAAAGTTTTCCTCAAAGTTAAATGCAATTGCCTGATTAGTTTCGCACCAATATGCTCCACCTGGTTGGTACGTTGGACAGTTCGACTTGATGTGGTGTGGGCAAGAAAACGTTCCCAGCGGGGGCTGTATAGGCCATATTAAGAATTCAAACAGATCCCAACAAGAAGAGACATGATACTTAACGCGAACCAGCAGAGGGACTAGGAAAGTGTAAAATACACTATTCTCCTCCAGAGCCACAGGGCACATCGTTGTTGGGGAATCCCCAACGCGGGGGGTCGTATTTGGCCGCCAGGAGAGGGGTCGTATTTGGGCTGAAAAAATTATTTTGATAGTTGATTTTTCTCGCTTCACGGACGTTGTAAAAGGGGGGGGGAGTCGTACTTGCTCATTAATGGGAGCGAGAAAGCCGGGCAAGCTGCAAGCGGAGGGGAGGGATGCGTTATACCTACATTACTGTCGAGCCTTGGTTGGAAGTGATGAGAAAAGTTGGTTGGGGGTGGAAATTTCGTGATCCGATGTCATATACCTGTTTCATGCTGCTAATATTAGCCCCTCCTCCCTCACCAATTTGCGAACGTTCGACGAAGCGAAAGAGGGGCGGCCGGGGGGAACGAGGGGTCGATCGCCAAAAAACCGCTCCTCCCCTGCCCAAATAAAAAGAAGGGAGGCAACAAAGGAAAAAGGGAGTCGGTACGCGACCCGACTAAAATCCTCTTCAACCACTGATGTGCCCTGGCCCAACAGCGCCTATTCCACCATTGAGCCGTAGACGGCAGAGTTCATCAGGAATTCACTGGGTACAGCTGTGTTGC